GTTCAGGAATGGACCAATCATGTAGTCCACAGCACCATCCGCTTTTTAAACTCCCTATGTGCTTCGTCGGGTTCACGATGCAAGTAGAGCTATTTCTGCATGCGCGTACGATGTATGACTTGGGTATGCCCCGTCGATCAACTCGCGGGTCATATGCGTCGATATACATGTACATGTAACAAACAGACATCGCATATTCAGACGATTCAAAAGTGGACGTCAATACCTCTACGAAATAGAACATCAACACCGACGCTATCAGCTAATCACAGCAGAAGCATGTTACACTCAACTACTATGCTCATAAGGTCACAATGCAACTATCATTTTTCATTATTCGCAAGCGGCACAGCAGTACTTATATATCCGTCGTGAAGCCCTATACTAACCAAAATGAACTACATGTCGCAAGAAAATTCTATCTCAACAACTTCCGAGTTCTTAGGTAGATCTACAACATAGCAGCACACTCCGAGGGAAGCAAGTTGAAGGTAACAACATTATGTTGTGCCATAACATGTATCCCCTTATCAAGATTCCAGAAGATAAAGTCCACGTATACTACATCTATTGTGCTAACCGGAAATCATAGCATTCTATGTAATCATTTCAGATCATCTTATCACAGAGCCCGAAGAGGGTTTGTTGTTTTTAGGTCGCAAAGTTAGAGTTCTTAACCCCAGGTTTAGTGGGCAAAATTCATCACGATTTCTGGCGAAGTGCCGTTGTCCTAAGGGACACGTAATTATAGCATTCTTGCACAGTGCTTTCTCTTTCGCACAAAACCACCCTTAAAAATCTATAGAACGGCCTGTTCACGCATTTATGTGCAGAAGTCAAGACGGCCGCAACATCAGACGTGCACAAGAATATACTCCGTGACGGAATTTGAAAACGTCTCTTCCAGAAATCAACTACCATCCATGATATAGTCCGCATGCACTTATACCCAAAATCATGCAGTTGTTATCGCCATTGCTATATAAGCATTACTAACCTCACACCCACGTCGTGCACAGTGTATTCTCGGATCATACCTTTTGTACATCCTTGTTGTACATTCTTATCTAGACATCGGAACGCTTTCGAAATTGACCAAAGACATGAAAAGTAGCTCCTGACCCAAGTACCTTGCAGATTTCCATGCATAAGCTATGAGTAAGTGAATCCGTCATCCACACGATTGCGATAATCGTCTTCTAACATGTAGTCTGCACAGCCTCACATCCAATACCGGCTCAAGACGGGTACATGCGGGTTGCCTTGAGCCGGTGTAATGCTGGAATGTCTTCGCGGTGGCGATCAAATTTTGAGTGCGCCCATTTCGTTCCCGATGGTAAGATGTGGAGGCGATATGGGAGGCTGTGTCAGACGCGGGCGCAGTGCTAGCCGGTTTCGGGGCTGTGCCTAGGATCAATGGTTCGCGCAGGAACGGCGGGCTCTGGAACGTCTACAGCGGGACCATCAATCTTGGATCTTTCTTGGGATTTCTTGAACGTCTTGTCCATGGTTTAGTGTTGTATGGAGATCTTTTGTAACGTGATATGCACGTGCTCAAAGCATTTTCGGGAAGCATGTAGCATTGCCTACTACAACAAGAACGAGTTGGCAAAGTATCGGATAGCTTATCTTTCGAAGATATAGAACTAAGAATGGTGGGTAAAATACCCGCTGCGTAACTCGTGACCCATCTCTATATGATTGAACAGCGCCAGGACGCCAGACTCCTCCTTGAACCGTATTGCACCAAAGGTATCTCGCGACGTACAGAAACACTCCTCCAGAGAATCGAAAGCCGTCCTCATTACAAAGCTGTTATTCATCTAGTTTCGTCATGCCTCTCCCTCTCTTCGGACTATTTGCGCGGCTCTTTATTCTCTCCCGGCTGTACGTCCGGCTCAACTCAAAGGCACTCGGGGGCCCGAGCCCCAGGCCCGTCCCTTCTCTGACCACGTCTCCAGCACTCGTGGCGCCAAAGTAGTTTGGTGCACCTGACGCAAGTTCAGTCTTGATCTGCGGCGTCGCCCAACCACTTGTCTTTCCGACCTTGGAACCCTCAGAGGAGTCTGAAAGCTCATTGTCCGAGGAGTCAAGGTACGTCTCTTCGAGTTCGAATTCGTTCGCTGCCTCGCCATCTTCTAGGTCAACGCGTTCGTAAGGTTGTTGGGTATTGGAGGAGGAGCCACCCAGGCCAAAGAGCTTTGCTGGAAAACTGCGCCCTCGGCGGCGGTGGAGAGGATCTTTGCCCTGTTTCCTCTTGAAGAGCTTGATGATGGACTGCTTGGCCGCATTCCTTTTTTCCTTTCCAAGAATGAGGCAAAAGATGAAGATGACGATGAATATCATGATGAAGAAACCAGGTATTCGCTGCGGGTTCTCGACGAAAAGCCGATGCCAGTCACTGTCGGATTCGTACAGTCTTGGTATGCCTCCGGGATATTGGAAATCTGCTGGTATACCGGGTACGTTCGAGCCAAAGCCTACTGCGAGGGCTTCTTCGGAGGGTGGTGGAATCTCGCTGGAAGCGTACAAGACCATCTTTCCCAGTGTCCAGCTCAGCTCCACCTTGTTGATCTTGTTGACTGCTTGGAATGGGTCGAGAAATCCCTTGGCCTTTGCATTGTCAATGACGTCCTTGGTGGTGTTCGTGCTGCCGTTCAAGTCTTCGATGCCAACTCGGGGGACGCCGATTCCATCGTGCAGCATGTTGATGACCCAGGACGCCTTGAAACACACCTCTCGTGCCTTGTCCTCATCTACTTTGTGACCCCATTTCTTCTTCTTGATGCCCTTTTCTATGCTCTTCCAGTCTTGACTGCAGAACTCATCCACTCGCTCCTGATAGGTCTTGAGGTCATATGCCTTGTGCTTGTGTCCGTGTTCGAAGATCTCGTGCGTGGTATGCCAGTACTCGGATACGCCTACGAAGTGGTTTACGTTGAAATCGATAGCGGGCACATGCTGTCCGTTGATCAGGCATGGCGAATCTGTACACTCCTTCTCTTTCTCCAAAAGCGGAAACGTCTGATGCAAACACTCTGAAAACTGTCCTGTTCCTACCAACTTCGCTGCGGCCTTCGGTTTTGGCTGGTCGTCATCATCGTCGTCGTCGTCCGAGTCGATCAATTTGCCATCTTCTGTGACCTCCACCTTGAGATCTGCTGGTAGGCAAGGATCTGGAAGCTCCTTCTCCGCGCTGGACTCCAACAAGGCCTTGATGTAGCGCTCTCTTGCTTGGTTGACGCCGAATCCCAGCCATGTCGTCACAAACACCTTGTGTTCGAGCGGTGTGCCGTCGATCGCACGCAGGCGCATGAGCGTCAGGTCGTTCGCATGCTTCTCCGCTTCGGTCGCATTTGGTGCGAAGGCGATCTGAGCCGACGCGCCTCCCATATCCAGGAATCCATAGGTGTTGTGGCCCTTGCCATGGTCGTGGTCTTTGGGACGATCGAATCCGCCAAGCAGGTAGTTCGCTGCGATCCAGCCATAGAGGCCTTCTGTCTCTCCCGGTATGACCTGAACATGTACGTCGCAATCCGGTAGTTGGAACTGGGTGGTGCTTCGCGCGAACTCGCAGACTTCCTTCAGTACCTCCTTCCGTTGGCGCTCGGGGAGTATGCGCATGCCCGCTGTTGCGAGCAGAAAGAGAGGTGTATTCGGGACTTCTTCGAGGGGTACGTATTTGAGCGCATGGCTGAGGAGCTTGTCGAGGTGTTCGGAGCCGACATCGTGGGGGTGTTCGCCGAAGGTGGAGATGCCTGTTCCGTCGCGTGTTAGTTCTGCCTGGTCGGTATTGTCCACACTAGCCTCGTACCTGGATGTATCTTCTTAGTCCAATCCTCCTTTGTTTCTATGACCGGCAGGCTGTGTAGTTGCGCATCGCCAGCCTTCTTGCGGGCGGCTTCATGGTTCAGCCATCGGTAGATGTGGACGCGCGTCCCCTAAACATGGTCAGCTACAACCCTGCGATAGCTGCACAACAGCGACTTGGAGACGTACAGAGGACCCAGCATCTAGGACAACACCGTATCTCCCTATGTGCCAAGCAGTGTCAGCGTCCGAGCTGTGTGGTGGGCATGGGGCTGCGCGGAGGGGATGGCGTACACTTTCCCATTGGGAGTAACCGGGTCCGAAGCGCGTTATCGAGTAGGGCGCATGCAAATGGCGACGGTGGATATTACAAGAGGTACGGAGGAAGACGGGTAGCGGCGCGGCCGAGTCGAATAGGATATACGAGGGAAACGAGCGACGTAGGGAGCGGCGACGAGTTGTGGTGATGGCGGAGAACGAAAGGTTGAGACTTGGACCCTGGCTGTCGGCGCCGCTTCCAGAAGGCGCATGGATCAGCGCCCGCTGCGACGTTTCACGCGGCGGGACAAATGTGCCACCAGTTACGGGCCATTATGACGCCATCTTCATTACTTCACGCGACCGTTGTTCACTTCCGAGCAGCAATCGTCTGCATTTGATATAGTGGCTGTTGCCGCGAGAACCACGAGTAAACAGAGGCTGAATCAATCTGGCACGGTGATCTAGTGGGCTGCGCCTCGGTGTCACTACAAGTTGACACCTAAACGTTGCGTCGTGCAATTTGCATGTACGGGCCGGCAATAACTGCGATCAGCACTGTCATGCGCGCGGAGTGACTATGACGTAGAAACATCCCTCATGCTGGGTCTGTACGCAAAACATGTCGGACCATAGCTGGGTGTTGGAGATAGAGTGTTCTCGTGATCAGAAGGCAGGAGCCATCGCGGCAGTGTGGCTCAATGTGGAAGGCTCATACCGGCGCCGACAACATAAGGTCGAGCAAAGCAAAAAGATTCAGTGAACATTACGCATGTATACAGCCTGTATAGTGATAGAAAGGCATAGGGGAGCAAGCCCGAGCTGTCACGGTCGCGGAGGGGCTGCTCTGTGCGGTTTGTCCAAAAAGTGGCCCGGGAAGGAACGTCGGGCAAAAAAGAAGGTGCCACATCGCTCCTTCCCTCCCAAAAAATTGACCTCGAGGTGATTTGAACACCTAACCTTCAGGAATCTCCAGAGGAACTGGAATCTGACGCGCTACCATTGCGCCACGAAGCCGGTCTTGTTGTTGATGGATGAAAGACAAAACTCATCGTATCTATTGACACGTGCAAAGATGCAGAGCGAAATGACGACTGCGGGGTCATCATCAAGCAACCCCACCAGACAGTGCAAGTCGATATTGAAAGTGGGTCAACGGCCAGCCTTTGCAAATTGGAAATGTACCTGCCTACAGCTGCAATTCATATCCGCTCAATCAATAGTGCCACCCGCTGCACCTTCAGTCCTCCATCAAAAACCTCAGGAACGCCTTGGCAATCACCACCCCGTCATGGTGCTTGCCAACTCTCTCCAGCGCATCTTTGGCCTGCTCGTCCTCAAAGATACCCTGCTCGGCTCTCATCTTGACCAAATACGACACAATAGGCTCCGTGAATTCCGGATGCCCTTGCACGGAGATGAGCCTGCCCTTCTTGTACATGCCTTGTACCAGACAACGTGGTGATCCACCGAGCTTTTCCACACCCTCTGGATACTCGAAGACTACATCCTTATGCATTTGGTGAATGGCCTGTAGATGTGAGTAGAGAACTACGATCATCGTGGCTTGTGACATACCAAGGTGTCTTGTTGGAATATTTCTTTCCCCTTCGCGGTAAGTTGCACTGGCATCACCGATATCTCCCATCCGTCGTCGCTGCGGCCGACTTTCGCTCCTGCCGCCCTTCCCAAGATCTGGTGACCGAAGCAAACACCGATGACACGGATTCTGTCTTGCTCTAGTAGTTTCTTGGTAAAGTCCACAAGCTTCAAGATCCATGGATCGTTATCAAATGAATTGTGCTCTGTTTCCCATGAGTCAGAATAGCGATACTGTTGATTGAAGCCATCACTCACTCGAGCCCGAGATCAACACTGCGTCTATATTCTGCAAGTCGGGATACTCCTGTGCTGTGACCACGTCAAATGCGCTCAGCTCCAAGTCTTGCTTTGGCGATAAGCCTAGGTCCTGTGCTGCCCTCTCCAAGAGTGTAGTGAAGATGCGATCGTATCGGCCATACTCATCGACGATAGCCGCTGGTGGAGTATCGCACTCTAGAATGGCTATTCGCAATGGCGTCTTCATCTTTTCGGAAGTTAATGTTGCGAGTTGTGCAAGATGACGCCGTCCCTGACAGCGGAAAAGGAACGGCGAGTTCGGAAACACTAGCGCAATCCGGCTGGTACCCACCTGCCCAGGTGCATCTAAAGCTTATCAGCCTCCAGGGGTCTAGCTACCTGGAAACTTCATCTTCGCGTCACTCAGTTTTGCGCCGACTCGTCCGCGCTGGAAAATAAAAGACTTATTGCGCATAGTTCTTCGGCACCTCGATCGTGCTACCATGCCGTCATCTGCGTCCGAGCGAACACCGCTACTTCGCTCTACATCGGCAAACACTCCCGTCACCGAAGATGCAATAACCACCGCAGAAGTAGCGCAACAAGGCCAGGGCGCGGCGCCTCAGTTTCCAACATCGCAAAAAGCGAGAAGCGGCTCACTTACCGGATCTGTCGACCCTGGCCACGTGCCCCCAATCACGGATGAGACAGAGAGCCTGACCAAGTTTCAAAAGAATGGGAAATTAGAAGGTGTTGGAGAGTGGAGGTTTAGGTTCGTGTTTGGTGGTATTCTACTTGGTTACTTTGTGAGTCTACCTGCAAATTTCCAACATGGCTGCGCATACTAATCATGTAACGACAGATTGCCATGTTTGACTCCACTCTCATGGCATCAAGTCATCCAGTCATCACATCGTACTTCCATGCATCAAATTCAGCCTCATGGCTATCAACAGCCTTCTTACTCACATCAACCTCGCTGCAGCCACTTATGGGCCGACTCTCAGATACTCTGGGTCGTCGACCATTGTATCTGGCTGGTCTCGTCGTTCTCGCAGGTACGACCGCATGGTGCTCTTTTGCGCAGACGATTGGCAGCTTCATCGCCGCTCGAGCCTTTTGCGGCATTGGCGCTGCTGGTGTATTATCGATGGGTAATATCATGACCAATGACCTAGTCAGCATTGAAGTACGAGGCACCTACCAGGCATACATCAACCTCTTCTACGGAGGTGGATCTGCTTGCGGGGCGGCTTTTGGCGGCTTTCTATGCGACAAGTTAGGATGGCGGATGACTTTTGCCATACAGATACCCATACTTGTCATGCTTTTCATAAACGCCATATTCACCACGCCTTCTTCACTCGGCCCAAACTTAGCCAAACGATATGGACTAGGTCTGAAGGAAGGCCTGAAGGGATTCGATATCGCTGGGTCCATCTTATTGACGGTATCTGTCGCGTTTTTGATTCTAGGGCTCAACCTCGGAGGCAATGTATACCCATGGAAGCATTGGATCGTCATAACCTCGCTGGTCATCGCACTAGTGACAGGTGCCGTTCTCGTCAAAGTCGAATCTAGAGCCGCGCGAGCAGTCATGCCTCTGCCCATGTTGTTTAGCAAGCCCCGAGGCAATCTCGTCTTCAACAATTTCTTTGCACAAGTTGGCATGAACACCATCCTGTTCAACGCTCCCTTGTACTTCCAAGCGGTTGAGCTCGAGACGGCTTCTGTCTCCGGATTCCGCCTTGCTGGCCCTTCCGTTGCCTTGACCATCTGCGGCGTGTCTGCAGGCTTCATCATGACCGCCACTGGTCGGATGAAGTGGCTCATTATTGTTGGCTCACTTTCGATGCTGTTGGGCGCTACATGTCTTTCCCTGATGTGGGATGGCATTCCCAAGTGGCTTGCCACCGTATTCCTGGTTCCATCTAGCATCGGCCAAGGGCTCAGTTTCCCGGCAACAAGTCTCGCGGTACTCGCAACAAGTACACAAGAGGATCAAGCAGTCATGACCAGCACACTCATTTTGTGGCGCAGTCTCGGTATTGTCATGGGTGTCTCATTGAGCAGCCTCATTCTACAGAATGCTTTGACCTCGTACCTCGAAGCACTGGTCACCGGTCACAATAAGGCGAAGGTATGTCCCATTTCGATTTCAGCTAGTGGTGTTACGATGTCTTCGAGGCAGTTGCGGATAACTAGGGAAAGCTCATCACCCGCACTGCGCGACTCCAGCATGTTTTTCACTTGTGCTTTGCTCCCAACGTAGTCGTCTGGGTAGTGGATCTATACAGCCTGCCTTCACGCTGTCATTGTTCTCATCGATCAGCGCTAATAGCTTCCCGCAGATCATTCAACACGTTCGCAAATCGGTACGCAGCATAATCGACCTTGATGCTAAGCACAAAAGTCAAGGTCAGTTTTGCTTCCTGCGGGGCGCGCGTTTCCCCTGCCTTCAAGCTCGATACCAAGTCGCTGCTCTCTTATAGTCTGAATACTGATCTATTCCCTAGTCATTGAGGCATATAGCCGTAGTCTGCGACTGGTCTTCATCTCAGCAATCGCCATGTTCATCATAGTGAACATATTAGTGTTCGCGATCGAACTTCCGCAGCTCAAAAAATCCAAAGTGCACGACGAAGAAGAAGAGTCAACGTAGTGAGGCATCACATAAACCGCTAGCAAGACGGTCAGACATCGTTGCGAGCTCGATCGAGATTATGGATTGTAGCGTAGCTCGTCAAGAATTACAAAGACCATCGTGCGAACCAATCTAACATGTATGGCGTCGCATCCCATGATGTGGGCCCGTTCCTTAGTGTTTCGAAAGGCTCGCCTTGATTCTTACGACTCGGCCAGCCGTGACCAAAACCCTGGATCGCTCTGTGAACAACGACATCATCAACATCGTTGCACCGCCATCGACTCTCCGCAACGCTTCCGTTTTCCAGTTGCTCCGTCGAGGGGTTGCTCGCACAATTGTCACGCTTCGCCCAGCTCTCGACCCAACTCAGTACTGGGATGAAAGGTGGTGGCGTTGGGCTGCTGCCGTCATAGGGAACCACACTATCGTTCAGTCCGTGCAGGTTCATGTAGGGGAGTACCCTATCTTGTAAGCTCGGAACGCAATCCTTCTCAAACAAAGGCTCTGTCAAGCTTGAATCCGGATAGAACGCGCCAGCCACGGTTGCGAATGCAGCGAACTTCTTGTTGAGTTCCGCATCACACATGAGAAGTCCAGTCAATCCGCCACCGTTAGATAGGCCTGCGGCGTATACGCGCCTCTCATCGATGCACAAGGTCGATGTCAGGTGTGCAAGAAGTTCGGTGACAAAGATTCGATCATCGATCACAGAGGAAGTTGGGGCCAACGGGTCGCCTAACCATTGCACCTACGCGTTAAAGTTAGCCTTCCTGCCTTGTAAGATCCCTCAATCCTCGCTCTGATCGTGACTTACGCCAGGTGCTTGGACATTCATGCCCTCCGGATACACCACGATGGTGTTTGGGTTGAAGTCAGGATTGGACAGCTCGCTGATGACCTCCATGCTTCTTGCGGGCTGTTGTTGGCCATGGAACGCAATCACAAGAGGCAACGCTTCATCATTCGAGGCCTTGTACTTGGATGGCAGGTGTAAGATGTATTGGCGCTCGGTCGTCTTGCCGATCACCGATTTCGAACCCAAAGTGACATTGGTAGTAGATTTGCCCGGTGTGAGCCCCGAGGGCAAGCGAGTTCCACAGCCAGAGCTCGCTGCGAGTACGACGGGGCAAAGGAGTGAAATGAGAGATAGAGACAGCATTGTCGCGATTCCGAGAACCAAAAACCAAGACGCGTGCTGCCAGGAACGGGGTTAACAGGTCAGGTATATATAGCTCTTGCGGCTTTGTGTACATGGGAAATTACGGACGAACAGAAGCGCCGCTCGTGCTGACGCGAAACCCCGTAGTCGGTCCTTTGAATACTAATCTTTCACCGCTATTAAGACGACGTGCGATAGCCTTCTAAAGGTTGCTGTTGTAGTAAGCAGAACTTAATAAATGTATACCTTAAGTCTGTTATAAGAATACAATTGTTAGGTTCTAGCCTATAAGAGCGTAGGCTAACTTAGCCTTAGGCATAAATACTTTATAATTACTATTCTAGCTTAATAGTAATTTATCTCTAGTATTAAATAATAGAGTAAGTTAAATACTAGATATATAATATTAAACTATAATTAGATATATTACTCTAAAAAGACTAGAGATAAATTACTACTAAGCTATAATAGTAATTCTAAAGTATTTATAGCTAGTACTAAGTTAGAGTAAATTACTTTTAATATAGTTTTAAAGTTAATTAATAAACTAAATAAAGTAACTATAGTTTATAATACGCTATTTTAGTCTATAATAGCTAATAGTAAGTAAGTATAAGTATATTATATTTAAAAAAAAAGGTAGAAATCTAGTATAAAAAATAGTAGCTATAGAAAGTTATATATAAATATATATATAGCTACTACTTATACTAGTAAAGCTAGTATAGACTAATACACTTTAAGTATTTTTAGCTAGTTAGAATTTTTTTTATTCTTTAGCTCTTTAATACTTTATACTTATAAGTATTAGCTTTTTTTTATTAATTATTTCTAAAATTCTAAGAAAGTCTAAAGTAACTTATTATAGTCTATTTTAGAGTAAAATAAAGTTATTTATTTAAATTAAAGACTTTTAGTATAAATAATACTAAACTACTACTAGCTAGTTTCTAAAACTCTAGTTTAGACTATTTAAGAATAATTTATATTAATTTATTTATTTTTTACTTATACTTACTTATAATAGTTTATATTACTTTATTTTAACTTATAATAGCTTTTAATACTTTAAATTAGCTATAACTATTAACTATAAAATTTTTCTAACTAGTATAAAGTATAAAGAATATACAAATACTCTTCTATTCTCTTTTCTAGGTATATAAGATCTAGAAGTATTTAACTTTATAGCTTAGTTTTAATTTCTAAAACTTTTAAAAGAATATATACTACTATATACTATAAAATAAGATATTTAGAAAATATATCTATATTATAATTATATACTATATTACTTAACTATATTATACCTATATTTTTATACTAGTATATTTAATAACGTAATAAAATCTTTTTAAGCTACTTTTATATCTCTAAGCTTTTTAAAATTACTTATATACTATATAATAGCTATTTATAGTTATTAAAGCTTAATAAGCTT